TTTATGTTTGAAATAGGAATGGATCACACATGTTGTCATCAAACCCTAATCTAGCACTTGGGTGATATGTAAATTGGATTTTACATGGCTTACAATTGCTTGCCAGCCCTCTACTATTTCGGAGTATGGTTGGGAAGTATTTAGTGCTGACTCCTGAATCTTGCTACATCTTGTTCACTACACTGAGCAGCTCAAAAGCCAGATGAAAAATGCTGGGAGAGGGAAAAGAAAAAGGCTCCATATTGTAAAGAGAGATGAACCGAATCTGTCTGCTTCAGATTTGGATGTAAGATTTTGCAGTACCATAGCACAAGGGTTTCTTTTGGAGATGGAAGCCAAGAATTTGCTACTATCTGATAATTCCTGCCACCTTAGCAGGCATGAAAAGACCTTGAAGTAGGTTTTACCATCCTTCATCTGCCAAAGGGCACCCTGAGTTGTCAAGGACTGTGCAGTGGTCAATACATCACTGTGTATTTTCCCATCCAGATGTCGGGATCGCTGCTTTATGGAGTGAGTAACCGGCAGCCCCGCATGAAGTGGGTGCAGTCATCCAGCAGCTCTGGATGGCACAGGGGACAACACCAGTGCCTGCTCAGCTGTGTCGATGAGGTGATTTAAGGCCTTGCCCACAACGTCTCTTTTTGCCGGCTTCACACCAGCATTGTCCAGTTGGAGGCTGAGGCTCAGGAGGATCAGATTCCCACTGAAGTGTCCCCAGCATCCAACAGTGGTTGGCTTTGTGCTGCTGCTTGCTTATCTGAAGCGCTCCTGCCCCTTTTGTGTTTCAGAGCTGCTTGGCGTTTGACACTGTACTGTTTCTTTCTTTTCTCTGGATGCATTTGCTTCTCTCTTCTTCTGTACATGCACCCTTCCCTGCTCCAAGCCAGGAAGCACCCTGCTCTGTCCGATAGCAGCTGCTGCCCAAAGTGTGCCATGGCTGAACTGAAGTCACAGAAGCGCTCCTGACAGAAACTAGCCATACATGAGGAAGCATGCAGAATGCTGGGATGTGCTCACTTGTCTTGGGAGTTCCCGCCTTGCCAGTGACCCTCAACATGGTGAGAAGGAAAGCCACACTGCCTGAAATGCAACTGATGAGGCTCAGTCTGGTATGGGAGTCCCAGCACCCCTTCATGCAGAACTATTGCATGCTGTTAATTATGTTGCAAACAGTGTGTTGAAAAATCAGTTTTACCTACAAAACAGACAACAGGAAAAAAATAAGGGAGGTTGGTGGGAGTGAGCCTAAGGTATCTGCTATAATGCAGGTGTGAGCAGAGAGCTCACTTGAATACGGATGTGTAAACACAGAAAGAAACTCGCTTCAAATACCTTTCTTCTCTCCTTCCCTCCTTCTCTCTTAATTGCATGGAAGTTCCTTATCAATGGGAGAATGAGCTTTTTTGAAAAAGCATTTCTATGAGTGTTTAATGGTGGCCTGTGAGAATGATCAGAAATTGGGTTCCCTCTTTCACAATTTTAAAACTAAGCTTTCAATAGAAACCCAAAATGTTTTATAGGGAGTATTATCATTTGGAAATGCTGAAATCAGGCAGATGCAAGACCCACATATCGTTAACGAGTTGCGTTTCTTTTTTCAGACTATGTGCTCTGACAGATGTCTTCTGTAGGTACCTTCAAGTTTCACTGTCCGCAGTTGTCCAGATTGTTCCTCCATGGGACTGACCCGGGGAACAGCCACTTGCGTGGCTGCTGTTGCAGTTCTTGCAGGTCTCCGTCAGACTCTGGAGCCTGAAGCTTCCCTGGGCAGTGGTGGCCGAGCCTGGCCCCACCTGCCGAAGGTGCTCCTTACAGTCATGTGTGTGCAGAGGGCTGTGTTTTGGTGCATGTGGTTTGTTCCACACCTGGACCTTCGAAACCTCCCCCAGGGGAATAACTCTGTAGGGCCATGTCCGCATGTTGAAAGGCAGACAGGTCTGTAACAGCTTTCCAGTGTCTCAGCTTTATAGTGACTCTCAGAAACCAGTGAAATAGGTAAGAAAAGTCAAATCATGCCATTGCTGACGTGTGCTTTTGTTAGAAAAGGCTAAAGCAGGTCATTACCTGGTGCCACCAAGCAGTAGGAAGTCTCCATAGCACACTTCCCAGTGGCTGCGGCGCAGCTGCGGACCTTGTTCAATCTCTGCAGCTTCAAGAGCCTGGACCTCCTCTGCTCTCTTTTACTGCTGGGTTGGTGTCATGTTTAACACTAATTTCTTAAAAAGCCATGCCAGTGTCTGAATTTTCTAGTGGGAGGATAAGGTCCTCCTGGTAGCCATTTGTTGCTGTAGCACTTTGTACAGTTAAGAGCCCAGCCCTGGCAGGATTCATGGCCAGTTCTCCGAGGGAGCGAAGGCATGATCACAAGGGGACCAGTGCTGGGGCAAGGTGGTTTCACTCACACAAGATGCTTTACTACATCAGTTTTATTTCGTATTTCACTTCTAGCTGCTTTTCTTTTGCTTTCTGACATAGCGAGCTCTTCCAAGAGCTCTTCAGTGAGGCTGCTGCGGATGTTCAACATTATGCCTGTGACTTCAGGGACACTAATTTCTAAGGTGTGCTTCTGTAGGAAAATAGACTTGCAGAGATAATATCAGCATGTTAATTTTCTGCAGGGTTTATAGAACCTAATGTTCTGTCGCTTTCTGGCATCTGGTCATTCCAATGTATTTTAGTTAGATTAAATAGCCAACAATAAGCAACGCAAAGGCTTGAGTTACGTGTGTATGGGAATAATGAGGCAAAGTCATGGATTGCTCCCTTTCTGCACAAACACTGAGTGGCAATCTTGATAACATGCTTTCAGGTAATTATTGCTGTATTTTAGATCATTTTGGTATATACTTATGTGATGTATTTGATTTTTAGTTTCTCTGTTTCCCTATGGAAGGAACACAGGAAATGTTTAACAGGCAAACATGCCTAAGTTGCTCTCTCTTTTCTGTTTTCTTATCAGCAAAACATAAATCTGTAGCTTGTTGACAATGAAACCATATGGTAACTCTGTCTGACAAATCGATTTTGCAATACAGGTAATCCTGGCTGTGCATGAGAAGAGATATTTTGGATTATTCTGTCTTAATTCTTGCATTACTCTATTTTTCAGTGCCTGGAAATTACACATGTGGCTATTTCTGAACACAGTGGTTTGGGTGAACTAAGAATTTATGGAGTACACTATACTTTAGTGTCTTTACTTTGAGGACAGTTATTTGTCATATGAAATAATCTGTTTATTTGCTGTAGCCAATGCCCGTCTTCTGTGTTGGCAGAAAGTAGCAGTAGATTCAGATACTTTTTGAACACTGGGTATCCTCTTAGTGTAAAGCCAAGCTAAGAAATGCATTTGTATAAATCAGCTCTTGCTTTACAGGAAGCTGCAGATGTAGCTACAAGAACTTGAAGGTGTTCAGCTCTTTGTGCCCTGACGGGAATTGGCTAGCTGATGGCTGATGGTCATCCCAGTTCACCAGAGCTGATGCTGTATGGTGGCATGGTACACAGAGTGGACAAGGTGGTTTGTTAATCCTTTTCAATGAGTAAAATGAACAAGCGAGAGTCCTCACAACTTCTGTTGGACTTCAAAATAAATAAATAAAAACAATATTTCCAGCCTTTGCTTCATAGGGATGTATCAGCAAGTGAGTTTTCTTCTTGAGCTGGGAACTAGTATCCAGTATCTGGAAGTGTAAGCAGAGTACAAGCCTGGGAGCGGACAACAACAGCTAGGAGTAATAGGAACTAGGCGCTGGAGACACATATCAAGTCTAGGACCAATGCCATGAAGCTAATCAAAAGAAAACAACACATCATGAATTTTCCTGTTTACTATAAACTATGTAGAAGTGGCTGATAGGCTATTAATTCCTCAAGCACTCCTCCTAGCTTTAGGTGCTGGCTGTCAGGCATGAATCTGTGAGGTTTGAGGTGCAGCTATTGCAAAAGCTACATGAGCAATAATTAGGGGTTTTATTCAATTTTAAATTTCTGGGTGCTAACAGTTACTGCAACCCAAGACCTGAACATGATATTTTCTAGATATTTAGAAAAGAAATATAAATCAAGATGTAAATCTGGTCAGCACAAATGTTTATGCAGTATTTGTGTTTTACTTCAGGAGGCAATGCCCCCTCAAACACCAGCCTCAGCTGAAAATAAAAATATAAATATATTATATTTAAAAAATAATAAAATTCTTGATTGTAGTAGATGCAGTCAGATAAACATGCCTGAAGAGTATTCAAAAGATAAATCTATGTGGAACATCTGCTTAAATAAATACAAGGATGGAAGCCTACCTAAACAATGATTTTCTGGAGATGGAAGGGTAAAATTAACCTAGCAGAACAGTGAATGCAGCAAGTAACCGCAAAAGCATTATAGTTAATAGCAAAGGATGCTAGAGCTTACAGGAGATATTTTACAAATGAGTTATTAGAAGACCATTGCTGATGAAAATTAGGGCAAATTTTATCCAGAGATATTAAATCTGAACTTAGATAAAATTCACAAAGTCATACTGGCAAAAATCCATCTGTGCATTGCAATAAAAGCATTTGTAAAAAGCTTAAAGTAGTGACACATTTAGTGTTGTGACTTTGGTGGGAAGAAATTGTGCTGGAAAGCTCTTAGAAGAAGAAATGGTATTTCTACTCTGGCCAAATCCAGGTACATGAAATGCAGTTGATGAGCTTTCAGCTCAGCATCTGTGTAAAGCCAGGTACAGCAGCCTTCAAAAGTTCAGCTGTCATTAAGATGAGCCTCTGGGGTTCCTGCCCCAATTACATTCATACGGGAGTGATCCTCTGGGGATGACACAATGCTGTTACAGGCCTGGCCAAAGCGAGGAAATGTCTGTGGCTTCATGGGACATTGGCTGTTAGAAATCTTTGTAGTGCTCAAGTGAAGAAAAATATTTTAAAATCCACGGCTGAGGAATAATGCTGACAAGGTCACTGACATTCAGAGGTTTTAATCACTCGGCATATACCATCATGGGCAAGGACAGTGCAGGAAAGGGTCAACAGCACCTGAACCAGCTACAGCTGCACGTATTACTCAGGATGGTCAATGCTGGATTAAATAAAATATGTCTTGAAAGAAAGGATCCAGTGCCAAATGATCTGTTCTTTGGAGAGCAGAGTCTGAATAACGAGTCCAGGTAAACTGGCAAGTCTGCTGAAAGTGTCTAGTGAGGGCTGCTATGGTGGCTAACCAGATGCACTTTGAATCAAATTTGGCTCTGAATTAGTTTCTGCATTTTGTGCGGCTGGAAGTGTCACCAGCGTGAAAGTATGTGATCCAGTATCTAAAAATAGCCTTGAAAGTGTAAAATGCAAAAAGATAGATATTTTGCATCTTAGGACAATGGTTTTTCATGGTAAGTCTCTGAGTGATTAAGGTAAAAAGAAAAGTCCAAACTTGCAATACTCATCTGAAGTGAGGAGGAAGGTTGTCCAGTGCACACATCCCACGTGTTCCAGGAACAGGATATTGGAGGGAAGGACAAGAGATGAAGGGAAATGATGCTCTAGAAAATATTTGCTCTCATTAAGGCAAATTGCTGCTATAGGAAGAGACTGAAAGAAGTGGCAAAACAAACAAATAATTTGCATGGGATTAAGACAGGCATATTTTTAAAAACTAGTCCTCAGTACATATTTACTTAGTAGATTAGACCAGTGATTGCCACTGTGACTTTTGTTTGGTCTTTTGCTGAGGTTTCTTTGGGTTTGTTTTCCAGGGGGCTGGGGTTTTTAAGAGCATAAATTGCACATAGGTAGTAAGCCTGTCTGCTGCGGTTTGATTGCAGAAGCTTTATGTTAATTAATGACTGGGGGGACTTTTAGTATTAAAAATAACATAGATTTGCTATCAACATGTGATTCTGTCAAGATACTCTCAAGGAGGCTATTAAAACTGTACATTTGTTTTTGCTTGTAAGTGTGGGAAGCATATATTCCGCCCTTTTAATTTTTTTGTGTGTCATCATAGTGCTTGCAGTTCTGGTCTTGCAACTGCAACCCAGTTGCCTCTGAGTCTGCTGAAGTCATTTGGAAATCCAGGGAAAGGTAGGGAAGTTGGGCTCTGATGCAGAAGCAGTGCTGGTATTTAGTAAATTAAAAAAAAAAAAAAAAAAGATTACGTAGAACAGTTTGCAGATTCTGTCAGTGGACCTGTACAAAACCAGAAAATATATTTCTTGTTGTTATCTTTGAAGTAATCTGGATATTATATGTTGTCTTAATGACCGAGCATTAAAGTCTGTGTTTAAACTAAGTGTGAAACAAAGAATGTTGTGACAATAAAACGCAAACTATAAAGTTAGTGGCTGATGTCAGGTGGCCGAGAGGAGAACAGCTCCATGACTCAGAGAACAGCTGTATGAATGACAAAGAAGTAGGGAGAGAAAAGCTGAATGAACAAAAATGTACTAAAAATGAATGATATACTATAAAGCAGAGTTTATCACTTGAAAATGGAGATAAGTCGAATGTAGTTGTGCTGTATCTGTATGTCTCTCTCTGTCCCCTCCCTGTACAGTGGCTTTTGAACCTGCTGGCTCACTTCAGCCAAAACTAACAGAGGTGCAGTGCTCTTGAAAGAGAGGAATTTTCTGTAGGATCATGAAAAGATGCTACCAAGTAGACTGAAATGCTGAAATATGTGATCAATCCATTAGTTCTTGGCAAGTTTGCATGGGGAAGACATGCTATGAATAATCCCAGCATGGAAGATGCCAGGCTGAGTACTTCATTAAACACACAGAGTCCAACAAGACAGGAATCCATAGGAGACCACGCCACTCACAGAATGACCTTTTTCTTTTTTTTAATGTTGAATATGTACCAGTCTAAGTAGATAATGTTGCAACACGAGTAAAACCTCCCTTTGCACTGGGGGTCAGGGCAGTGGAGCTGTTGAATGGCACTGAAGGGGGTTTGGCCTTGGGCTGGTACTTGGCAGAGCAGTCAGCATTGCCCACCCAGAGGTCTGTTATTTGTTTTGACCATTAACTTGGACTGATTTACAACCCGATTGCAATAAAACTTAAGTGAACCTTTGCTTTTGGCTCTGGCACTGCATTGTCTAGCTTTGTTTTTGTTCTGCAGGGCAGTGCAGCCGCATCTTCCCTCCCCAGCTTGGCACACTACAGATCATTCATGGCAATGGCACAGCCGTGGGGACAGTGATAACGTTCCAGTGCTCTGCTGAGCACCAGCTGGAGGGACCAGGCGTCATCACCTGCATTTGGAAAGGGAATGGTACCCAGTGGACAGCTGGAGTGCCCTCCTGCAAACGTAAGGTTCTTTGGGCTGTATTGTGTTTATTTTGCCCTGCCTATCTCCTACAATGTTTCGATTAATTCTAGACATCTGTGCAAGGAAAAAGACAAATTCAATTTCCTTCAGAGTTGGCCCCACTGACTGTAATAGTGCTCCATATGTGTTCTGACATCATTCATTATCACGACACAGAAAAGATGCAGTCAGATTTATGCCTGATCTCACATCACCGACTCCGGTAGTGTTGCACCCAGGATAACTGTGGCTCTGTAGCTGCAAGCTGTACTCTTCTTTAGAAAATGTATAGATATGACCAACTAATGTGCAAGCGCATTTGCAAACCCTCTAATCTCCTGGCATTCTTTTCTGAAGATATATTTGCTGTAAAAGAAACACAGTGATATTTTTTGAACAATTTTAGGTTGCTGCCTGTGGGCAGCCGCATGGGAAAGTTACCATATTGACAAATAGCATTTGAATGGCAACATTAACTACCTTTCATGCTGTGTTCCTTCTTACTTATTATAAGGTTGTTAGTAATTTGACTAGAAGTAGGCCCAAGCAAAACATGGTACCTCTGAGCTTTGAGAATCTCAATCTGTGTCTCAGACTTCGTATAATTTTAAGTCACTGGTAGATGGATGGCTCTTTTAGACACTTACTGCTCTCTCACAAACTCAGCTATTCTGATCTCTCATTTGAGAGATTCCATTAAAGAAAAACAAGAGAAATCCTCCCCTCCAGAGGCTGCAGAAATGTAAAGCTTTGTGTGGAGCTCAGCTGAACCATTTCTGATGCTCATAATAGTGGTGTTGGAAGAAGTAGACGAATTTTGAAGCAAGACATGCTTAGTGCTCCAGATGAGTTGTCAGAGATCTGCGTTAGCTGTGCCACACCACATTGCCACTCCTCCTTTTGTCTGGATAATTCTCTTCCAACATCAGGTCACTGTGAACACTCAGCCCTGCAGATACTGTCCCTTCCATCCTGTATCCTTCCGCAAACAGAGGAAGGCCTGTTGTTCCCTGCCTGCCAAATAGGATGCAATTATATGGAACTCTCCTTGCTCTAAAGGGCTTCTTTAAACCCATTTACCCCTGCCAGTATTTGTTTTTGTAGCTCCAGTCCTTGTTAACAATTGCTTATAAGAGTCTGCCAGCTCATCTGCATTTGATATGCCGACAAAGTTGTGCTTTTTAGCTACTGCAGTGCTGAAGGCATTGTGTTTAATTAGTTGCAGTGGTGAAATACTTGTGAACAATTCATTAGTAGTTTATAAACAGGAGATTTTTAAACAGCCCAATTTGCAGCTTTGCGTAGCTCTAAGCTGAAGCCAAGATACTCTGGTATCTTGACACATACTAACGTGAAAGTCCTCACTGAGCTATTATTAGCAGAAGCGTGAAGCAGGTAGGTTTCAGCATGGTTTAATGAAAATATGAATGATAAATTTATGAGTTGACCTTAGAAACGTGCTTCTGTGTTTGCTTTGCTGCAGCCATATCAAAATATGAGACTTTTGGATTTAAGGTCGCAGTGATTGCCTCCATCGTGAGCTGTGCTGTCATTCTGCTGATGTCCATGGCTTTTTTAACTTGTTGTCTTATCAAGTGTGTGAAGAAAAGTGAAAGGAGGAGGACTCAAAGGTATGTCAAGAAAAGATTTTTAAAAAGTGTAAGACTGTATATCATATGGACTCTATTGCTGTGATAGCAGAGAGCTTCAAAGGACTTGATGCTCAGAACACCACAATGATGCTAATTACTTAAAATCCTTACTTTGTAGGTTAGGCTTTAGGCATAGAAAGACTTGGAATTCAAGACTATTTAGGCACCTAATGTCTGTTAATATCAGATGACCTCAGTGGGGCTGGGCAGATCTGGATTTACCTGGAATTATGCAAAAGCTGAACATAAAAGTCTTATTTGCTGGCCCAGTCTTTCTCTCCTTGAATTACTTAAGATTGGCTGTATTTCCCTTCTTCTCTCTTTCTTTCATTTTTTCCTTTGCTCTCCTTGAACACTGCTGGGAAAATTAATCTACCCATGTCAAAACCATCAAAGCCCTCACTGTCTGCAAAGCATACTTAAATCTAACACAATGCCGTGCTGGAAGGATGCGGGATTTTGTCTTCTGGCTTGAAGCACAAGACAGCAGGCAGGATTATAAACAGGCATGGGAAGAAGTAAAATTTACCAATCCAGTCCATTATAAAAACTCAGTGTGAAAAGTGGCTGTGTGACCACATCTGGCTGTATGCTAAAGCTGAGCCACTGTTGTTCATGAGAGCATCCATTCAAAGTCACCTGCTGCAGAGGGCTTTCCACGGGCACCTCTTCTTCTTTTCCCTCCCATTTTTCCTGCTCGTTGTTCCCACCGCTGCTTGTAACTCAGTGGGGTGGCTGCACCCTGTCCCACTGATGCCAGCTGTGCCAACAGTAACCTGCGCTTTTGGTTGATTTTAACCCTCTTCTTGCATCAGAGAAGTGTTTGGAGTGAGGTGGGGTAGTGGTGGAGTAGAGGGAGACTGGGGAGGACACGAGTGAAGGTCTCTCTGGTCCGAGCTGTGTTTTATCTAGAGCTGCATAGGAACCAGCTTAGGGGGGAAATTCTGTCATTTTGAAATCTGATTGTAACCAAAATACAGATTTTCTATTTCCCTTGAAAGGATTTTGTGAGGCAAAAAAGAAAGTCTTTGGTGTCATTCATAATATTAGGTTTTCACTGATAGCATGAAATAATTTTTTAAATGAAAGGGTTGATTGGTGTTTTTGGAATCGCTGCTTTTCTTTTTGATAAGACTATTTATATCAAAGTCCTTGTTTTTCACTTATTTTAAATGGAGTTTTGTCCAAATTAGCTATTCACATGACTTTGATGACTTGATATTTTTCTCTTACAAAAGAAAAGCCCTTCACACTGGACGTTTTGACCTGGTTCTGTCATCAGGACATTAAATGATTCCCTTTGTTGGGAGCTTCTCGGTTCCCTGCTGCCCTCTGTCCTCCTTTCACTGCCTCCTGAAGGAGCTGCTCCAACCTGACCCATCCACGACTGAGCCCCGCTCCCGGGGAGGGAACCTGGGGGCACTGTAGACATTGTGTGGCTTGACCCCACTGTCAGAAAGCAACTGAGATGATGGAGAAACCGTCCATGTCACATCAGAAAGAGTAACACATCCCTGTATGAAACTTGCTTGACCTGCAGCCTGTGCTGCGGAGTGCCAGATGTGGTGGTAGCGCTGCTGCAGCTGGCAGCATCCAAGAATGTAAGTGCATGAGAGTCTGCATGTAGAGAGGATCTCTTTTGTGAGGTCAGTTGATGTAGTTGGAAAATGTGGATGGACTTTTGGATGCACAGAGCATTAATCTGAAGAGAAGCTGCAGGCTTGATAACAATACAAAATGAGAATACTTGGTAGGGGATTAGTTAAATAAGTGTCTCTTAGACCATCTCTGAAAGAAAAGGTAGTCTGTACCTGTGGGGTAGGGAGGATGTCCTCATCTTGCCTTTAGCTTTGAAGTCTGTCTGTCTACTTTTTCTGGCTCTTTTAGTTGGTCTACTAGAAGAGATCACCTCTGCCTACAAACCTGTCCTGCAAGGTATCTGTTTGATGATCTTTGAAGTGCCATCTTGTGTTTTATCCTTTCATTTGGAGAGAAAAAGGACAAAGGCTGCTGAAAATCCTCACATAATTTAGCCTCCTCACAGACCTTGTCCCACTGTGTGAGCGTAGCTGCCATTTTCTTTGGTAGAAACGGGATTGCATCCTGAGAAGACAGAAATGACACCAAAATCAGCATTGCCAGCTCTCAAAATTTAATCTTGTCCCATCAGCTAGTGTGAATGTCTGTGATTATGTGAATCTTAGACTTCTTTTAAAAACAAAAAAAGAAATTGTGATTTTTTTTTTTTGCCCCAGAGTTGTAGAGAGCAGCATGAAAAGCACCTCGAGCATTTCCAGAGGGAAATCCTGAAGGCAACCGAATAAGCCCTGCTCTTCACAAAGGCAACATTACCTGTCTGCTCCATTTTTAAGTCAGTTCATCTTTCCAACCTGCCTGGTGATTTTTGAACCCTTAGGAAAGGCAGAGCTGCAAAAAATCACAGATTTTTTTTTTCTGAAATAACTTATTCCATAAAATAAGGGATGGCCTGTAGTCTTTTCACATGCAGGAGGATCTGGCCTGACGCGTGTCACTGATGAAGGTCCATGAGAATATTGACATGACATCATGCCTTAAGTGACTTTCCCTATTACCTGTAGTCTCAAAATCCACTGAATCAAATTGACATTAATTATTGGGTTTTTGCTCCTTTGAACTATCCACAGGTGCTCGTAAGAAAATTGCTCTTTTTTTTTGTTTGCTTGTTTTTTGAGGAGTGCTGGATAATACTTAAAATAACAGTATTTTTCAGATAATATTTATGCTATTTAAGAACCCCCTACCTTAAGGTATTTAAGTCTCTGAAAATTTGGCTTACACTTGAAGTTCAGCATGTGTTTAAGTGCTGTCTTCCGTAAACCTGGACTTAGACTTAAACTCTAGTGAGTCAGAGCTGTGGTCAGTTAAAAGCTCAGATATACAACCATTTATCACAGTAATGTATTTTACCCCTTGCTTTATTCACAGAGATATGCAGCTGTGGTACCAGCTCAGAACTGAAGAACTAGAGCACATGCAAGCTGCTTACTTTGGTTTTAAGGGAAGAAACAATAACAACAACAGTAAGAAACTCAGGAATAAAGCTGTGTTCGATGATGTGACTAACATGGCATATGATAACCAAGGCTTCTACAGGTAAGGCTATTAAAATGTAGTGGGTTTGAATGAGTTTGTTGAACAAATTTTAGAAAGAGGATTCCTCAAAAATGCATTTTAAAGGGATGCCCCTGAAGAGGACATGATGCCAGTGGATTGTCAGGGCTTGTCCTTGAACTTGCCTGTCTTTTGGGGAATTAATGTTGCCAAAAGGTGAGACAGCAGAGAAGCTGAGCATGACCTCCCTCCTTACAGCTTCTTTCATCTATCCCCGGTAGTGCCTGCTTAAGCCTGGTCTGCAGGGGAGGTTGCACCAGATTAACTAGAGAGGGGTTTTTAATTGGCTTTGTTAAATTGATGCTAAACTGCAGCAGGAAAGTCACTACTCTGTATTGTTAGTGGTATCAAGGTGCCAGCTTGCCTAAGAGCCTTAGGAGAGGAGCCAGACAGGGACACCTGGGACTGTGGTACGGCTCAGGGTGAGCATCAAGTATTACCATTTATCCCTCGGTGACCGCGAAAGCTCTGTTGAGAAATATCATTTCGTTATCAGGGTGTGCAGGGCAAACACAATGGCATCCACACCCTCAAGGCAGCATGAATGCCCACAGTGTGGGAACCCTGACCCTGGGGTAGTCCAAAGAAATGTCCATGCTGAAATAAAGTGGATGCATGGATGGTGGGCATAGGTGTTTTTTGTGTCAGTTCAAAATCACCTCTGAAAGTGTCCAGATGTGTTACACTGGCTGTGTTGTTGCCAACAAAAGAAAACCAGAAAAATGAATACATGTTAAATTCTAATTGCTGTTTTGCTATTACCATTCATATAAACATATGTCACTGTGTCTTTTTTATCCTCTGAGTTCTGCTTTGTCATCATGTATGATAATATATAGCATAATCCTTGTTTGCTTTTAATTCACTGCTCACTTGTACGGCTTTTATGTACAGCAGTATCTGTGATTTGTAGTGGTTACCTGCAGAAAACAATTTTATGCAGATTATAAACCTACTTCCATGTCACAGTGCAGCTGGAAATTATATTCAAACGGAGCACTTGCACAAAAGTCTCATGGCTGCCTAATCAATTCCTAGCTTTGGGTGATTTCAGAAAGATGTATAAAGCTAATTAAATGCTGATTATAACCTAAACAGTTTTTAGACGACTCGGGATGCAATTTTTAATTTTGGGCAACTTCAATCTGCTATGATGTTAATGTTTTGTATAAGTGTAATCTGCTTTTAAAATAATATGGATAAACATAAAGAGCTGTAAACAGGTTAGTGATCTGCTGGAGCCTCGAGCTCCTTCTGGGTGCTTATCTGCACCATTCCACGGAGCAGAAGCTGCTCTATTATGTTTACCAAATTCTGTACGCTTTTTCTTAACTGAAAGTAGTAGGGAATATACAATTCTTCTGGATAAGCAGCTTCTCTGGGGCCAGAAATCAACAAGTTTATTATTTCTTTAGAAAATTCGAGAATGTATAAACTTCAGTGGGGAATTGCAGAGGGCAGGAGGAAAGCCTGTGAGCTCTTTTTTTCCTACGTAGAACAATACACATGCTGTGTTAAATACTGGTGCACATACCCACCTCCTGACGCATGAGGTCTGGTATTAATCAAGGTCTACTTTATTTGCAGCATGCAGAGGTGGTGTGATCCTGGCTAATCACTAGCCAAAGCAAAAATCAGCTAGGCGACCAGGTGTATTAGTCTGTGCACCCCAGAGCCAAAGGTCTAGCCATTTCTCTTGTGGAGAACGGGTGCCACTTCTAATCAGAGATGGAAATGGCATTGAAGCTGTTACAGACCCTGAATAAAACTGTCTTGGAATTGCTCTAGGAACAGGTGTGACCCTTTATCAATTTGTACCTTGTTCCCTTTCTTCATTCAAATAAGATCTATTTAATCAAGTTTACTAAAAGATGCTAATTTCTACTGGTTAATTCTGTTAAATGGAAATATGCGCAGGATGAGATGTGGTAATTCTGCTAACATATTTCATGCCAACTCTTGAAGACAACAAATGGTCTGTCAGCTTTGTGTTTCACTTACAAGACTTATTTTTCATGCATAGTGAATTAGGCTAAGTTTCATCATCCTGTGCACATCCAGCTTACTGGGAACAGCAGGACAGTGTAGGCAAATCCCAGGGCAGGTGCAAATATGAAGCTGGCTTATGCTGGGAAGACCAGCATGAAAAGACCTGTTTACTACCTGCGTTATTTATGTGGTACCTTTCTCCATTTAACATGAAGTGGATGTGTTGGCAGCCTGTGCTTGGAGGAAATTTCTAACCGTGTGGGTGTTGCTGTAGTGGTGGAGCTGTTACAGTGTTGATTATCCAAGGAAATAAATAAAGGTTGTTGGAAAAAACCATCAAAACTGAGGGCAAGCAAGCCCGAAAAAAAGCTTCTGTATATTGCTGCATGCATGTGAACCAAAGCATGTGTCCATGGTCATGAACAAGCCAAAAGATAATTTAACCGAGGCTCCTCACGAAATGTTCAGACATGATATTAGGAAGCATTTCTTTACCAAGATGGTGATCAAACCCTGGAACAGACTTCCTGGAGAGGTGGTCAATGCCCCAAGCGTGTCAGTATCCAAGAGGCATTTGGACAATGCCTTTAATAATATGCCTTAATTTTTTGGTCAGCCCTGAATTGGTCAGGCAGTTGGACTAGAGGATCGTTGTAGATCCCTTCCAACTGAAATACTCTACCCTACCCTATCCTACCCTACCCTCGATTGTTTTACTCTACCCTACCCTACCCTACCCTACCCTACCCTACCCTACCCTACCCTACCCTACCCTACCCTACCCTATCCTATCCTATCCTATCCTATCCTATCCTTGTGTTAATGTTTCAGACATTTGGAGGGATTTGTGGAATGCATCGCTAGACCTCTGAGCAAATTGGAAATCCTACTTTGTTTTTCTAATAAGGAACTCTTCTAAGAAGCATGGGAGGCTGATCGTTTTATTCCTGCCTTCTTCAGGGCGGCAGTACGCGTGGTTCTCTGTGATACAGCCATGGGAAGTGGCTTTGCAACCTACTTAGAAGGGGAAGGCTGAGAGATGAGTGGTGACATTGTCTGAGAAAGGAGTGGGTGGAGGCTTGGCAATTTATGTCGTTTTTGCGATAGCATTTCCTTTTCTTAAAGAAAACTGTTCTTGCTGCTTCTTCATGTGACATATGAAGCATCTGGAAGGGTGAGAACTCCACCCTTGAAAAAGACCCTCTTGAGTATATCTTAGCCTATTTTTGACTAGAAAAGGATGTAGGTCATGCTGCTTTTCAGATTTAATTGAACTAGATTTAGAGATTAACTAGAGATTAGCATTTTGATTCAGCACTTTAAGGATCAAAAATACTGTAAGAACAAGTGAAATAAAAAGCCAATTCTTTCAGGTAAGCCAATATAAAATAAAACAAAAAGCCAGTTCTTTCAGACAGGTAAGATATTTGTTACGGTTTAGAGAGTAATTTAGGATTAAAAAACTATCATCTGTTAAAGCGGTACCTTAGTATGCTGATGAGATAATTTTGGCTGTAACAAGGTGACATAATGTGGGTGCAGAATGCTGATGTATAGAAGTTATAAATAATGTAGAAGCCCAGCTGTTGGACAGTAGAGGCTCAAGTGTGCTGTTCTGGACCTGTGTGCCACAAAATGAGATCTTTTTCCCCTTATGTTTGAAGCATGGAACAAATGTGATGAATTTATAGTTTTGCAGGGAAATGTTGAATTTTAGTGGCAGCTACTCTAATGAGCCCCATTCTGGCTTCTTGGCTGCTTGAACAAATTGCTTTAAAATGCTGAGAAATATGTCTACAAATACCTGGGATCATTAACTACAGAGCGCAGTTACTGTTGGTGCCACCTCTTTCATTTGGATTTAAGGAATCATAATGAGGATAGAAATACCAATTTTTAGCAGAAAGTCTTATATGCAGGAGATGCAAGCATTTACAGCATATTTGCTCTTTTATAATATTTGAAGAGCTAACTAATATTGAGCAGGGAAAGCCAAGTTACAAGGCATGGGGCCGCTGGGAGGTACATGTTTTGCCCAGCATTGCCTCTCAGAAGTTTAGAGCATAGAGCAGAGATAGCAGGTTGCTGCGTGATGCAGAGGTTTGAGACAGATTAGCTGAAGAAAAGGGTCTGTCATCTATGGGAGGGAGATTAGCTGCAGCTCTGGGCCACATAGAGGAGAACAATGTGCATGAATCTCCAAAACAGCCCCCCGGAAGGATTGCTAGACAGAGGCAGGGCTTGTCAACAGGGGGATATATTGGGAATAGCACTCACAGCCTGACTGCAGTATGTAGTAGGAGAAAAGCCAAAAATCAGTAAATTACATTCTGCTCTCTTTAATGTTTTAAGATTTAAATGTCTTCCCAGCTCTGCATGAGAATGAAACCAGGAATGTTGGCATCGTTCATCCAAAGTGAGAGACCTTCCTCAAAGCAGCAGAGAGCACCACACCTGCTTGGGGTTAGAAAAGCACTGTGGGTCTCGCTGGGGAGAGCCCTGGGCATCAGGGACATTTGGTATTGCAGAGGAACTAGCACTTGAAACACCTTGCTGGTTTTAAGAGGTTTTTTGAAATGGGTATGTTCCTGAGCAGGATATGTTATTTTTGAGTCAGTTATTTTCTGATGAAGAATAATACCTGACCCTGCAGTAATCCTTCTCTGGAATAATTGCTTGGGGAACCACTGCCCGAAATGAACAGTCCTCCTCCATCCCCAGCAAGCAGCCATGTGGGAGAGCTTGTACTTAGTCAGCTGCCTGAGCAGGCAGGTTATCCTCTGCCCCGTGACAGGCACAGGGTAAAATATCAGTAAAGAGAAGCTTAATGACAGCTGTCCTTCCTCTGTGCCAGCTACTGGTAATGTTTGAGAGATGGAAGTAATGTCAGTAAGAGATGATATTAAAGAAATTGGTGTCGAAAAGAAGAGTGGGATCACCCTAATGCAGGTGTGGGGGTATGCTTACCCACTGCCGTGGGTCAGCTGTAGCTG